GCTGACATAAATGACGTAATGCATGTTGCTGTACAATTATTTAAAGCTTAAAAACTGTTAAATAGTTTTCGGCTTTGTGCTTTTAAGGAAGTGTAGGTCAAAAGTAATTCAGTCGAAGGCTTTGTAACCATAAAGAAAAAGATTGGAATTGAACAGAATTTACATTCAGACAAAATACATCTCCGGTGTCTGACAATCCAGTTATAGATATCTCCTAGACATAACAGACTCCATGCTGCCGAGTCCAGCAGACCCATAGGGCCTGTGGCTCCAAGATATATTAAAGAACCAAAAACATTTCGACTTAAAGCTTTCGTGACTGCAGGGATTCATATTCTTGGATCTTTCGGTAAAGTCACGTAGAAGGGAAATAATAGAATAATAATAAAACATAAGAAAAATCTCACGACAGGACGCTGTCTTTCCAAAAGCTCTGTTCTTCACCTGAGGACGGCTGCTTGTGTTGTGGCCGAAACGTCGTGAGAATGTTATTATTGTTTTATTTTTATTATTTTATCATTTCCCTTCTACGTGATTTTACCGAAAGATCCAAAAATATGAACCAAGAACATGGTCAAATCAAATAAAAACTCCATTCTGTGTCTCCACATCATCAACATGATCATGATCATCAGCCATGGTCAATCCACTGCTGGATGAAGGCCTCCTCAAGTCACCACCACCTCTCATAGTTCCACGAGACAACAACACACCCAGCACGTGCACACGAGCCAGTTGCATCGCTCCATTTCCTCAGAGGCCATCCTCTCAGACACATTCTTGGCGTGTCTCCATATACTAAAATATGTGTATATATAACATATGTTGGCTTTCAAGACCAATATAATCCAGCAGAATGTATTAAAGCACACAAACTCTGGACCAGTTTCGACCTTCTGGGTGTCATCAGTAGTCAGGCTTGTTCAGCAAATGCTGCTGGATTCCCAGGGGTTATTGGCAAGAGCACTCTATCGAAACTATGGGGACCGCATTCAACGCAGAATTCGTTCCCGTTTACATGCGGAGACAGAACGGAGTTCTGCTTATAAAATGCGTTTACCCATAATGCTCTGAGAACAAGGTCACTCATTGCTGTCTGCTCCAATTAACACTGTTTCAGCTCCGATTATAATCCATGGTGAAATTGTCAGCACATTTCACTTACAATCCAGAGGTCGCCGGTTCGATTCAGTCGTCCGGCGCAGCGGTTGAATTACCCCCCCACACCCCTATCACGCCTCTGTACACCCAGCGATCAGCTGGTCGTGTGTGGTGGGATAAAGTGTGCGTACCCCCACTTCTTCCAACACGTCTGTCCAGCATGTGAAGAGTAGACAAACACTTTCTCGAGCTCCCCTTAAGAGAGGCCCTTTCCTCCAGCAGTGGTGCGATCAAGCAATTGCAGGGCTGCCCCATTTCCCTGTTATCCGGCGGCAAGAGCTTTCCTCTACTTGGTCCTTTCGGTAAAGTCACGTAGAAGGAAAATAATAACATTCTAAAAATAAAACATAATAAAATAATTCTCACGACGTTTCGGCCACAACGCAAGCAGCCGTCTTCAGGTGGAGAACAGGTCTGTCAGACTCTGCCTTCTCGACAGACCTGGTATTCACCTGAGGACGGCTGCTTGCATTGTGGCCGAAACGTCGTGAGAATTATTTTATTATGTTTTATTTTTATTATTTTAATATTTTCCTTCTACGTGACTTTACCGAAAGAACCAATAAGTTGAATCCCTGCAGTCACGAAAGCTTTAAATCGAAAAAGACCTTTCCTGTCGAGCACACACAGAGCCTTGCGTAGATGATCATTCCCATTACCTTTCCTGCTGGGGCCATGCCGGCGTGGGTTTAATAAAAAAAAATTCGCCCGTTGACACAAGCAGAGCGAGCAGCTGGAGATTTATCACGGTAAGAGGGCTGGCAAGTAATTCCACACGCCGATAGGTCCTCATTCTCGCGGTGTCCACGTAGAGAGAACTACGTGGGCTCTCCTTCCGTTGCACTGCACGTGCGTCTGGCTTAGAGAATGAGAAATGGCGGGCGCGCGTGTACTCTGGAAGTGCTGATGATCGCAATTTTTGGCTGCTGGCTCAAGATAAATGAACACACAAAATCATTTTGTGAACGAAATGTTGTACATTTACATTAGAATATTACTTTTAAAGTTAAGGCGTGGCGGTGACCGAGCCCATCATCTTTACAGGTGTCGGTAAAATACATACCATTTTGTGATTATTATACTGTATATAAAGACTGGCTCCTGCCATAGTAATGTGCAATTTCCATCACTGGCTCAGGTCTATGAACACGGATTAGCGGCTGAATCTTCTTCTTCCACGCATTTGTTCCACTCATGTAAGCTGAATGGAGACACTTTGACTGTCACTTGACTTTTTGGAGAGGCAGCAGTGTTTGTCATGGGAAGAATCGTCCCCTGCCATGAAAATATGGAACTTCCACCGTGGGTATTGGATCACGAGCAAAAACAAGCACACTCTTCTCGTTTGAGCGTGTGAAAATTGTGATGTCTTCACTGCGGATTCACTTGAACGTTGTTGTGTGGAGTATTTGCGGATTTTTCATGGCATCGTAAGAGCGGCTTGGAAGGGAAATTATAGCTCGAAGCACTCGAGAAAATTCACCAAGTTTTTTTTTTAAGGATAGCTAGAAAAATTATTTGACCAAAAAGGTATATTGCAGAATGTCCTTTGAAAGCCACTCGGTAAAGTTGGGCGGAGAATAGGAGACAGCGGATTGAGGAACGCTATAGCAGGAAGCGCAAGTGAGGAGATGTTTGATTTTCAAATCTGGCCGGCCAACCATATATTTAGGAGAGATAATGAAAATGCAATGGGAATTGTTTTTAAACACAGCACTCTTTGACAGAGAATGCTTATGACAGATTGTCAAGACACGTAGTTTGGAAACATCTAAGAGCACGGGGGAATTGGAGAGTATGTGTTGAGAGGAATTTACCGTCATTGGCTAGAGCCGTGTTCAAATGCCCATGGCAGTGTCGGACTGGCTTACGATAAAAAGAGGTCTGTGACAGGGGAGTGTTCAGTCTCCAGTTCTATCGATCATTGTGATCAATGCAATCTTGGGAAAGGTTCAGGAAGGATGATGCATCAGCAGGGCGATGACTGCGTTGTGGTGCGGAAGCTTAGATAGAAGATAAGGGTACCACGGTAGCAAGATGTTAACTACCTCGCCTGCTATGCAGGGAGTCGTGGGTTCGATCTCGACCGTGACACCTGTATATTTGTAGTTTGCATGTTCTCTCTCCCCGTGGTCGCGTGAACTTTTCTCCGGGTCCTACGGGTTTTTCTCTCCACATTTAGAAACACGCGTTTAGAGTATTTGGCTGCAATACATTTCCACATGATGATAAGCCACTTCGTTGAGCTTTCATTTGTAGCCAGGTCCACTTCTCAAAAAGAGCTATACATGCTCAGTGGGCCTTACCTGGTAACATAACGTGAATAAAGAGAGACGTGGTGATTTGGGCAGAAGGTCGATGACACCGCCCCCCCCCCCTGGAATGTTTCCTGGCTCGTGTGAGACGCTGGGATTGTGATCTGGGATGTTGAGACTGAATGGACTAATTTTCTCTGTTGTGTTAACTTATTTTGTTTTTGTGCCATTTCTTGATTTGTTTATGATTTTTATCTTTTTCGGAGTGTTTTTATTTGTTTGGAAGTTGCTCTAAATAGGATGTGGCCCTCGTATATATAATTAGTGTACAGCATTGCGGGATGCAATTAGCATGAATTCAGCTATATAACATTTAATTTTTAAATTATAATTTCTTCAAGTGTGAGGTCACAAATTATGAGAAATTAATAAGGGATCTTGGTAGTAAGGTCTTCTAAAGCATACACATCGAGATATTACTGCGTGCAAAAAGCAGTGTCTGCACAAAGAGACCGACAATGCTGATGATGACAGTGATGATGATGATCATAATAATGATGATGATATACACAAACATATGTTGTCTACCAATCAACCCCAGCAGTACCTGGACACACAGACCAGCGATACTGGTGATGACTGTGGTGACGATGATGGTATGGTGGTGGTGGTGGTAGTGTTGGTGATGATAATAGTAGTGATGGTAACAATGACGATGTAGAGGATGATGACGTCTCTGTACCACAACCACAGCACCGCACCTGCAGGACACAGTTGGTGATGATAACGGTGATGGTGACGATGATAATTACGATGGTGTTGACGATGATGACATTTCTGCACCGCACCTGTAGGACGCAGCTGGTGATGATGATGATGACGGTGATGATAATGTTGGTGGTGGTGATGATGATGATAATGGTGGTGGTGATGATGATGGTGGTGGTGGTGATGATGATGAAGTCTCTGCACCACATCTGCAGCCTCCACACCTGCAGGATCCTGCTGGTGATAACGGTGATGATGGTGGTGATGGTGGTGGTGATGATGATAATGGTGATGATGATGGTGGTGGTGATGATGATAACAGTGAAGATGATGATGACGGTGGTGATGATGATGATGATGACGACGACGACGACGACCCACACCTGCAGTATGCAGCTGGTGATAACGGTGATAATGATGATGATAATGGTGGTGGTGATGGTGGTGGTGGTGATGATGATGATAACGGTGAAAATTATGATGACGGTGGTGATGATGATGATGATGATAACGGTGATAATGGTGGTGATGATGATGACGGTAGTGATGATGATCATGATGACGACGACGACCCACACCTGAGGTACGCAGCTGGTGATAACGGTGATGATGATAATGGTGGTGATGATGATGATAATGGTGGTGGTGATGATGATGATAAAGGGTGGTGATGATGATGGTGGTGATGATGATGATAACGGTGACGGTGATGATGACGACGACGACGACCCACACCTGCAGTACGCAGCTGGTGATGATGATGACTGTGGTGATGATGATGACGACGGTGATGATGACGACGACGACGACCCACACCTGCAGTACGCAGCTGGTGATGTCCGCGGCCACCTTGGCGTGCGGCGAGTCCCCGCGTGGCGCGTGCGTGAGCGCCCTCTCGAGGCAGGCGCCCCACAGCGACGCGAGCGACGGCGCGTGCCGCTCCACGGAGCGCGTCTCGCGCAGCGCGGCCGTCACGCGCGTGATGCAGATCTCCACCACCGCCTGGTCGTTGTCGCTCCGCAGGTAGAGCTGCGGAGCGGAGGGGGTGCCACGGTGGGGACATGTCAATTGCCTCGACCCCGAGGGGCAACTTGTAAGGGGGTCTCCGTCGTGGGTTTCGATGCCGAACCCTGACGACGCAATGCGTTTTCTTGCCGTGGTTGTTCCGCCGATCGAAACGTCGTGATTTGTTTTATTTTATTTCTACCCACGTGACTTTACCGAAAGAACCGAAGAGTATGGATTCCTGCGGTCACGAAAGCTTCAAATCAAGATTGTATATTTGGAGTTTGCGTCTCTCTATCTCCGTGGTCACGTGGATTTTTCTCCGGGTTTTCCCCTCCACGTTCAGCTGCGTGCTTTTTGGAATATTTGGCTGCTTTACATGTCCACTTCGATAAGCCACTCCGTTGAGCTATCATTTGTGGCGAGGTCGCTTCCGATAAAGAGCTACACAGCTCGGTGGGCCTTGCCTGCTCAAATACAAATGTGTTTTTCTTTTAATCGAGCGCAGGGCAAGGAACAGAAGAAGACATTCACACATCACCACTGTCACGGCTGCTATAGCGGAAGGTGGCACGAGTTGACCATCATCATCACCTGCTAATGATAGTGATGATCATGTTGAGTTTCATATATGTTGCGTCGTTGTTCGCGCAATTTGCATCTCACAATCGCCGAGGATCCGCAGACAAATTGGAAGGCTGCGGCGAGGCCGTGAGATGGTGCTCTCAACGATTGCCCAAAGTTCTGCAGTCCTCTACATATTAAGATGTTTTTTTAACAATTAGTGAGTGTCCATGCATGCGGGAGGAAACCGGAACAGATTGGACAAAATTCACACGTGCGAGGGTGCAACACTCTATCCCGTACAGAACGAACAGATGACATTAGTCCGAACTTTGTGGGTAAACCAGTGTATGGCGCTTGCTCAAAGCCGACGGGAAGGGAGTTTCACACGAGATTTGTGTGAGCCACCGACCCCCGCCTCCACAGCGCTGAGATTGCAGGCCACGTACATAGCCGCCACAACTCGGCATAGACACCCGAAATGTGCCGGTGTGTATGTGTGCTGAACTTCTTTCGCGCCGTACGTAGCCAGCCGCGCTAATCGGAGGTGCGCGGGAAACGTCGTGATTTATTATTTTATTTTATTTCTATTATTACTTTTATTTAAAAAATATATATTTTTTGCCTACGTGACTTTACCGAAAAAACCTAAGAGTGGAGCGGGAAGGACGACAGACTAAACACAAAAAAGCAGTTCTCAAGAGATGAGTTGTCAATCTGGATAATTTCAAAGTGCTTAGCTCCATTGGCTTCCTAACATCGGAAGGAAGAGCGTTCCAGACGTGCGATGCGGTGACCACCGTCTTTGTTCGACGTTCTAGCCAAAAGCCAACGCTGCAGCGGGGATGACCGGAGTTCGCGTGATGTTTTATGCTCCGTGACGAGATCAGCGAGGTATCGTGGTTCACTTGTGTGACAAGCACTTTGTGCGTGACGGCACCGTCACTTCTCAGAGCACCCAACGCGTATACCGACACTTGTCACTGACTGCGCCTCACACAAGAAAAAAAAATTAACCCGTAAAAACAAAGTTTTTCACTATAAATCCTTTATATGCGTGGCATCGGTTTTATTTTATTATTCATTTCTGTTTTTCTTGAGTAAGAGTTTCATTTTTATCACATTGGTATTTTAAATTAAATATGAAATATTTTTTTTCCTAAAAAGTGGAAAATTTTGGGGAAAAAATTTTCACGAAAATAAATTGTCACGCACAACGAGTCTGTGTGCAAAATGTCAGCTCGATTGGATCACGGGAAGTGAGTTAAAAAACGACCGAAAGATTTGCACGGTCGTAAGCGCGCAAGCAAGTGAACTTAATATAAAGGATTTAAAAACAAGTCCCGAAGCACTCACATAGTTAAGGAGCACAGCACATCACAGAGGAGACACTCAGCTCCAATGAACCGATAAACATTGCGCGCAATAAAGTGTATAACAAACTAACGCTTATAACTCGCATGTCGTGACTGTTGCATGCTTAACATACACGAAGTAAATTTCGATTTAAAGCTTTCGTGACTGCCGGGATTCATCTTCTTGGTTCTTTCGGTAAAGTTACGTAGAAGGGAGATAATAAAATAATAAAAATAAAACGTAATAAAATAATAAAAATAAAACATGATAAAATAATAAAAATAAAACATAATAAAATAACAAAAATAAAACATAATTTAAAAATATAATTCTCACGACTTTTAGGCCACAACGCATTATTATCTCCCTTCTACGTGACTTTACCGAAAGAACCAAGAAGAAGAAAAGAAAAATATACGCGAAGTACAACATTGAATGACGTTTAAAAGAAGGTGAGTTGTCAAACATTGTACGTACGGGGGCATAGCTTTCGAGTGTGCAGGCGCTGCAACTGCACCAAGTGCCCGTGCCGGCGATGCCGAACCAGTGAGTTTGAGTCTCTAGTTCTGGCTCCAGTGCCCTCTCGTTACCGCAGCCGTGCCCATGGTTGTCATCTCTTCATCGCGATGTTCGCCTTGCGAATGGCACGCAATTCCTACTCTCTCTCTCTCACTCTCTCATCGCTTTCTCGACACAGGCACTGTTTGGCATGCTCGCTGACATTCTCTCAACGTCTAATCGAGCTTTGAAACTCGCAGTTGGCCGCCAAAGTGTTGGTTCTCGTTTCGATTTAAAGCTTTCGTGACTGCAGGGATTCATCTTCTTGGTTATTTCGGTAAAGTCACGTAGAATGGAAATAATAAAATAATAAAAATAAACATAATAAAATCATTCTCACAGAGTCTGTCTTCTCAACATACCTGTTCTTCACCTGAAGACGGCTGCTTGCGTTGTAGCCGAAACGTCGTGAGAATTATTTTATTTTTATTATTTTATTATTTCCATTCTACGTGACTTTACCGAAAGAACCAAGAAGATGTTGGTTCTCGCCTTAAAACATGTATGCCCACCGTCCAGGGTCGGGTCATGCCCTCTCAAAAAACAAACTTTCTCATTTTTAAGATAATTATTTTTTTATTTCCCTTCTACGTGACTTTACCGAAAGAACCAAGAATATGAATCCATGCAGTCACGAAAGCTTTAAATCGAAATTTCTCATTTTTATAAGAGGAAATAGTATTTACTGATCGTGGGCGTATTTACTCATCCCGGTACTACTTTTAGTTTTTGAGTTTTAAATGGAAAGACAAACATACAAATATCTTTGAATAATTCAATAGTGGTAGTATGATGATGATGATGACGACGACGGTGTGTGGATTTCCCATCGACACTGTGAATTCCCCTTGCACACACAAATACTCAGAAATGAATTGGCCCAGCCGCCTGAAACCTACCGCGGCGTTTTCTGTGTAAACAAATTATCATGACTTATGCGTTACAATTCAACTGCATCTAATTGCTTACACAGCGCTGTGTGTGCGCGCGTGTGCGTTTGGCGCCCGGTGTGCGTGAGAAGTTATGCTCTCATTATTTTCAGTCTGTAAAGAAGACTTCTACTGAAAATTAATATCAGGCTAAATCATACCGGAAATGGTGCCAGAGTTGAGAATGGGGTTCATGAGAAGGAGACCTTAATTCTCTTAAGGGGCCCTCCATAAATGACGTCACGCGATTTTGAACGACTTTTTGACCCCCCCCCCCCTCGTCACACGGCGTCACAAAAAGTCAGACCCCCCCCCCTCAAATATGACGTCACAATGCTCTGCCCCCCCCCCCCCAAAAAAAACATGCTTCAAATCGCTTTAAACTGTTGTCATTGTAGTGCGTATTTAATGTGCCGCTGCACTCTGATGTTGTAGGAGAAAACATTTATGAAAAAGTCGATTTAATTAAGTAGAACGTGTTGTCTATATTTATTAAAAGTTGCGCATTTTGATGTGACGTCACATTTCTCACCCCCCCCCCCCCTAGGTGCGTGACGTCATTTATGGACGGCCCCTAATTAATTTGTCATTTGTGGAGAAATACGCGACAGAGAGATGGTAACGAGTCTGCCTTGCGCTGGGTCATTCAAGTTTCATTTTAAAACACAGGCACCCAGCGTACACATGTGTGTTTAGGAGAGGAAATGATCTTCCCACACACTAATGTATGTCGCGATACCGAATGCGAAATCATTGTTACGTTTCAAACCTGGTTTTGAGTTGCCCGCAATCACAGTCTATATGTGTGGATGTGCACTATGATGTGAATCTTTTTCGATTTAAAGCTTTCGTGACTGCAGGGATTCATCTTCTTGGTTCTTTCGGTAAAGTCACGTAGAATGGAAATAATAAAATAATAAAAATAAACATAATAAAATCATTCTCACAGAGTCTGTCTTCTCAACATACCTGTTCTTCACCTGAAGACGGCTGCTTGCGTTGTAGCCGAAACGTCGTGAGAATTATTTTATTTTTATTATTTTATTATTTCCATTCTACGTGACTTTACCGAAAGAACCAAGAAGATGTAAATCTTGTCTTTGTATTTTTACGGCCTTTTATTCATTAACTCACTGCTGAATAAAAGCCACTCCCGTGTCATGTCAGGTCATTGGGGTTGTTGGACCACATGGAGATGCAAATGAATTTCCAGTTTTAGCAGTGCTGCTATTTACACACCCCACACCAGGCACTAAACGGAGGCTGAGTCAACTTACAGGGAGCTCGGGTTCAGTTCGTATATCACTCACCGCTAACATTTGCTTTGGTTGGGAATCCAACTTAGGTCGCCGAGTTCATAGCTCGTCGCAATACCGCCACCCCACAGAGCCGTCCGTATACACAGTCTTCAGTAAAAAATATGTTTAATGATGATCGATGTATTATAATTTGAAGGAGGTTCGTTGAAACATTTTGGTTCATCTAATGTAGTTGCCTCTTGACCAAGGGGTAAAATAGTTAAACCGTGGTAAATTGTGTCCGCAATGGTATGGGGGGGGGGGGGAGTAAAAATGTAGCCGCAAGTCTTGAGCGCAAGGGGCCCTCCCGTGTGTGGTGGCGGACGTGTAACGCCGGTACCGGTCGATCGGCAGATGATTCTGCGCACAATATCTCTCACTATCTCGACGTGGCGTAGACTGGTTCCGTGTTTAGAACTGCGCGTACAAGGCTCACGGAGGGGCGATATCTCACGGAGGGAGCGCTGCGTGGCCTGTGATCGGACTTTAACACACCATGCCCTGATAATTGTTTTTTTACCCTTCTATCTGGCAACAAAACTGACACCTTTTTTACAAGGAGTCATGTTTGCATAGACCACAATACCTGCAGTCATAATGCAAACAAAAAACATAACTCTGATAATGTATGCACTGTCCTTGAAGTTGATTGGTCCACACCCGAGACAGCTGTCTCAACTTCAAGGACAGTGCATACATTAAAAGGTGTCAGTTTTGTTGCCAGATAGAAGGGTAAAAAAACAATTATCATATTTTTTACTGGCAAATGAGGTTCCAATGGTGACACCATGCCCTTTTGCTGCTAACAACCTCGCTTCACAGGAGGCATTCGCTGCTGCTGGTCTCCGTTCTGCTCTGGGACTAATGATGGTAACGAGCTCACACGATGCTTAAATGTTAAATAATGGAAATTCCGTGGCTCCCGTCACAGATCCCAAGGCGAAAGGCACTCTGAGTAGCTGATTCCTGTTGAATGGGTTAATCACTTACAACTTTAAATCTGAAGTGGTAAACTAATTTAAATCTTTTGAGAATTGTTCTGTGTGTACTCTGGTGTTATGAACTCTAACTGAATATGAAAATTCAGAGCTGTGACCTTCCAAGAATAGATTTTGCTTTTTTTTAACGATGTATTTTTTCATTGTTGTGCTCGCAGTCTATCTTGAGCACGGTCCCATATCCACTGTGCGTTCCAATCGTGCCTACTATTACTATTGTTACACATTGAAGTATGTTGGTACTGCAGGAATGTGTGTGTAATGTCACCACGTGTTCGAGTTTATTTTGTTTTAACCAGGTGAGAATTCGAGGAACCAGAATGAGTCTCGTTTGCAAGAGTGGCTTCCAGTAGGAGGTAATAATTTCTGTAAATAATCCCAATTATTCAACAAACTATATTTTACATTATTAGACCTCCTTTGCCAGTACCAAAATATAATAATAGGGTTTTTCCCCTTTTTGCTGGCAACAAAACTGAAACCTTTTTACAAGGAATCATGTGATGTAGATGCTTACCCCGAGCCCTCATTACTTTGATGGTGCGTTGTCTTTGAGCTGTACGCCTTTTGGCGTCCTCTGGTCGAGCACCAATTGAGACGAGGCTCAAAAGAAAGCCGTCTCTGGTGTAGACCAATCAGTTTCAAGGACAATGCATATATTATCAGAGTGTGTTTTTTGTTTGCATTTTGACCACAAGTATTGTGGTTAATGCACACATGAGTCCTTGTAAAAAGGTTTCAGTTTTGTTGCCAGTAAAAACGGGAAAACCCCTATTATTAAACTATATTTGTTATTTTACCAGGTAAGTCCCACTGAGCTATGTAGTAAAATTTCGATTTAAAGTTTTCGTGACTGCAGGGATTCATCTTCTTGGTTCTTTCGGTAAAGTAACGTAGAAGGGAAGTAATAAAATAATAAAAATAAAACATTATTATGTTTTATTTTTATTATTATGTTTTATTTTTATTATTTTATTACTTCCCTTCTACGTGACTTTACCGAAAGAACCAAGAAGATGAGCTATGTAGCTTTTTTCTCCCCAGAAGCGACCTGGCTATAACAAATGGTGGCTCAACGAAGTGGCTACTTGTGCGGAAATGTATTCGCAGCCTAATACTCTAAACGAATGTTGATTCTAAATGTGGAGGGGAAAAACCGGAGGACCCGGATAAAAATCCACGCGACCACGGGGAGAACATACCAACTCCAAATATACCGGCGTCAGGGTTGGGATTGAACTTAGGCCCTCCGTTATACTGGGCGAGGTAGTTACCGTATCGCGGGCATTTTTTTTACTTGGCAGATTTGGACAGATGAGCAGTGAGAGAGAGACGATGCATTAATGTAAACCATAGAATTAAAAGGATGATCAGAAATATCCACAAAACAGGCACCATGCCTTCAACACCACGTAAACCAGTGTATGATGCCCTGCAAACTGACAAGTAACCAAACACCGTGCACGTTTTGTGTTGAGCAATGGGCAGAACTAACACGTTTTGAGCAGCAGATGGCAATATTTACCACAATTGAAACTCCGCACACAAGTACAGCGCTTTAGTGCAAAGCATTGAAACGATACATTTACACGATACTCAACTTAGAACAGGTGCCTCAATGCACCCTCCTTAACGATTCGCTGAATTTATAATGAGCTTAATAATGAAGATAAATCACTAAATTATGCATTGTTATACCCATAGCAGTAAGTGTATATATCCGTTGAACAATAGAAGAAAGTAGCATAGCCGTTTTAATTATTATTTGAGAATATATTCACTGGATTGGTGGTAGTAGCACATGCTCCTAATCCAGCACTGTGGAGGGAAGGATTGGTGGACCACACAAGTTTTGCGAAACTCACTTCCCGTGTGCTTCGAGGTGCCATACCCTGGCTTGCCAGGAGGAGACTGTATAGAAACATGTCGGCTGATATCGTGTTACTTTTGTATGGAATAGAGTGTTTCCCCCTTGCACGCGCAGGTTTTCTCGGGGTGCTCCAGTTTCCTGCTACACGTATAGACAGTCAATAATTAGCTAGAAACATCTTAATATGCCGATGGCTGTAGAGCTTGGCAATTATTGGCACCGGTTCACCACATTTTGCTTTCCCAATTGTCGGTGCCTCCATGGCGCCTCTGAGTTGATCTCTCTTGTCAAGAGTGAACGAACGCTGTGTGACGGCGATGCATTCAAAGTCAAATCATTGTCATTGTTGAATGCCTGTTGTGTGTCCACAGAGATTTTACAAAAGAGCATCACAGATTAAAAGAGAAATTCCCCAAAATTAACTTTTCTAAAAGTATTTTCTCAATAACTTAATTTTATTGCTCCATAATAAAATGCTATACAAATCGTGTTTTGAAATACCGAATATGCTGAACGTTCACTTTCTGGTGAATGCACCCAGGCATAAATTTTGCTCCAAATTGACAATTCCAGAACCACAACGGTAGCCCGAGAAGATCACAGAACCACTCACTGTGTAGTGAAAATGAAATGCGTTAGAAAGACATGGCCCGCTTCTAAAGCTACTCGCAGTTCAATCGAGCTATGTTGGGCCCAACCCACCACCATCCAGTCCAGACCTGGCACCTTCAGAAGTTAATACATTCTGCCCACTGAGAAATGGCCTACACTGGCAAGATTTCGTCAAAATGGCACCGACTGACAGGATGTCGATCCACAAATATTCACGTGACACCGGTGAATCCTTTTTACGTTGATGGAATTCTGGCCCCTGGTTTTAACGTCAGCACACCGTGCATAGAAAATATGTAGAGTATGTTGAAAAATAGACAAATGTTCGTGACATTTGGGTATGATGTGACACAGACCTATTCGGTTTGGACAGGGAAATAAGATGTGGGCCAACAAATGACCATCATGGGGCCTTGCACTGCCAAGTGGAAGGGGCAAAGTAGTGGAGGCTGTCCATATTCTTAGGTTTTTTCGGTAAAGTCACGTAGGCAAAAAATTAAAATTAATAAAAGTAAAATTAAATTAAAATTAAAATCACGACGTTTGAAAGGCAACACAAGCTTCCGTCTTCAGGTGGAACCGTCACAGCACGATAGCTGTATCAAGTGAGAGAAATTCTTATAGGGGATGACTCATCGAATTCTTGGAATTTCTCGTCGTGATTTTTATTTGATTTTTATTTTACTTTTATTAATTTAAATTAAATTTTTTTACCTACGTGACTTTACCGAAAAACCTAAGAATATGAATCCTTGCAGTAACGAAAGCTTCAAATCTAAAATCGAGGCTAGTCCACGTTTGAGATGTATTGACGCAGAGGACCAGGATATCACAGAGATAGACAGGTGAACAAGAAGAAATTGCTTCAACTGCCATGTGAAGACTGATGAAATAAAAAATATGAAGAAGAGTTCATGACTATCCAATGAAACAACATCTACTATTTTGTATCAGTGGCATTAACAAGTAATTGAGAGGAATAATAGGAGGCATTACTTTGAGTGTATCTAGTATATATTAGGACATCATCAACATCGTCAATAGGCTTTAGTGGCCTCCACCAGTCAATATACTTGAGAATGGCTCCACATTCCAGAATATTTACCTCGTCCATACATCCACCATCCCATCAACAAAACAAACACTTGGATGATCAAGAAGCCTTTCCACGGAGGTTGAAAGCTTCTAAAGCTGCTCACTTAAGGGCTCATCGATGACATAATGGAACTAAGCTATACTTATAGGGGATGACTCATCAAATCATTCGTCGAGGGATGATTTTTAAAAAGGTAGAAACATCGTGGCTTTATCGATGTAAGTATTGATGTTGAACTTATTTCGCACTGGCAGTGTAGCGGTTAGCGCACCGAGCTATGAACCCGGCGACCCGAGTTCGATTCCCGCTCATGACCAACACCGTTGGCGATTATCTGAACTGGTCCTGGGTCTCCCCTTGGTCGACTCAGCCTCAAATTAGTACCTGGGGCAATGTGTAAACATCGCCGCTAGGGAGACAAAGGCGGTCGGGCGTGGTGCTGGCCACCCACCCCCTCGTGTACCGTGCCAGCCTTCATAGGTGCTCGCTAACAGCACTTGCCCCTACAGTCTGGTCAGGCTACACAGGGTGTCCTTTGTCTTGTTTTGTATGTTTAACTTCTTTCGCACCGCATGTGGCCAACCGTAGCTAAATTGGAGTTGCGTCGAGCACCGGGGGTTCCCACTCAAACGCAGCCGCGTTTCACTCACCGGTGAGGAGACGATGACCTTGATTTGCTCCAGAGCGTCGGAGAGGCCATCCTCTATCTCGGCATCGTCCAGGGAGAAGATGTCACCTGCCAGGGAGAGGTCCCTCTTCCCCAGCACCAGAGCAAACAGCTTGTGCATGATCGGGCCCTCGGAGACAAGTTATCTGCTCGTCAGGTGGGCCATTTTCACGAGGTCAACGAGGTCAACGAGGGCGACGCTCCCCAGCGACGTTGGAGTGAGGCTCCTCGTCAGCGAGGTTCCACTTCATGCCTGTGCAGGTGTGAAAGTCAGAAGGATTGCCACGTCAGCATAACAGCAGTGGTCTCGATTGCAGCGGTATTAGAATTCAATACGGACGTGCAATATTTAATTGTAAAAAGGTCGGATTAAAGGTTCTTGTAGGCCCTATGCACTTCTGTTTCGTAGGCCTTCAGTGACAACTTTCGACAGTTGGAACTGCTGCTGCTGCTGCCCCATGTTATTACTGCCGCTGTCACTCCGCTTGTTTCACGCGAACTTTGTCCAGCCGCTGGACAGATGTCGTTACTGATGCGTTCATTATTTAGTCTATGCCATAATTCGATGGGAGTGCACTGTGTGCCGCAGATACGCAGATTTCATTTGAAATTATTGAGAGAGAAAAACAAGGTAAGCCTAAAATATTATAAGCGAAAATGACAACTAATGTTTACATTAAATACACTGGTCAACAACAAAAAAACCTTTTATTTCTGGCCTGGACTTTTGCAGCTATTTTAGACTAATTTCAGGGTGCTGATTCCAAATCTGATCTCAGATTTGCTCTATCACATCATTTTTATGCTATCAGCATACCCCATTTTCATTGATTTTACCCGATATTAACTCTGTCACTTATGATTGCAAGTTGTTGCGAGTCAGTGACTGCTTTAGTGTTAAAATATGGTGCTGTATTTTTAGGATAGTGTGTTTATAATATAATTTTATGTAGATATCCACATTTATTTAATATTTTTCTTCTGCAGTTAATATTGAAAATGCAATATTTGATATCTCAAAAACCTGATGTGATAGACAAAAACTGATGCCAGATTTGGAATCAGCACCCCAAAATTACCTTAAAACCGTTGGAATACCTTATACCAGAAAAAGTGTGTTGACCAGTGTTATCATATCGTACAATGCAGCTTTGAAAATATGCCGTTCATTTTCATCGATAACAAATTCAACGTTCTGACAAGACGCCCGCATGGCGATCACCTTATTGCTTTACTTTCGTTTAAGCTTCACGATTTGTTTTACTGTTATTTTAGGGGTAATGTCTCACTTACAACGAATCAACGACTAGTTACCGATGCAAAAAAACTGCAACGAGCAGCCATAAAAATATATTTCTTCTTGGTGACTACAAACAACAACAAAAACATGGTCATATTTTGTTTTCGTAGGCCCTATTGGATAATACGGCCCTGAATCATAGCACCGATGTCCTGGATGTTAGTGACCCAATAAGCTGTAATGTAAGCCTATATGTTATCAGTCATTCATCATCAGCCAGGCTTAATCCACTGCTGAACGACGGTCTCCCAGAGTAATGTGCCAACCCATCTGCCCCTGGAGATCAGGAACTCACAGACAATAGAGGCTTTTAATTCCCGTCTGAAGACCCCACCACTTGTTCATGAAGATCTCCACTCTCTGGTTCTCTATCTTGTCTCTTTAGTCTCTCTCTCCACAGTTACTTCCCAATTATTATCTTCATTTATATGCATGGCGTTCTGAGATCTATTGTTTAAGGGCGCCTTATAAATCTAAATAATTATTATAAGTAGTATCTGCAGATTCTAGATTTGACGTTTTCGTGACTGCAAGGATCCATACTCTTTGGTTCTTTCGGTAAGGTCACGTAGGTAAAAATGAAAAAAATAAAAAAAATAAAAAAGTGAAAATAACTCAATTAAATCACGACGTTTCGGAAGCAGCACAAGCCTCTGTCATCAGGTAGGACAGCCACAGCAAGAAATCATTTGCTGTGGCTGTCCTACCTGATGAGAAGAAATAATTTGCTGTGGCTGTCCTACCTGATGACGGAGGCTTGTGTTGCTTCCGAAACGTCGTGATTTTATTTAGTTATTTTCACTTTTTTATTTTATTTTATTTTTATTATTTTTATTTTCATCTACGTGACTTTACCGAAAGAACCAAAGAGTATAGTATCTGCTGAATAAACACATTTCCTCACTCCACGTCCACCTAAACTTGTGCAGAATGCCAACTGGAGAAACAGGATCCCTGTGGGGAGTAATAATAACCATATTGACAATAAACCGCTTACTATATGCGCGGTGATAAAATAAAAGTGCTTGGAATCACCATTTCAAGGTGCTAAGGGGGGATGCCAAGTTTCTCGCAGGCAACACTAGCAATCAACTTTTAAGCACCTGGCAATTAGTAAGTGAATACCAGTAAACCCCCTTCAAAATAAAACCATAAAGTGGCGATACAGCCGGAAATGCTGCCCCTAATTACGCGCTGTTCGCAAAGCAAGCAAAGCAAGCGCTAAATTGCTTGCTACGGATATCATAATGGCTCGCTGAATAGGAGCGATAACACGAGGAGGTACAACACAAGCGGGCGGTCAAGCTTTTCCAACAATGGAGCTTCGTTTATTGCGAAGGATTACTGATATGGGCATTGGGTGTTTTGGCACCAACGTTATGGAACAGCTTGGCTGTTAAATATTACGAATGCGCACACAAAGTCGTCAAATTGAACATTAAATTGAAGGCAGGTGTGTGGTTTTTTTTGAGAGCACGTGAATACTTCAAATGAAGGTGACAGAAAGGGGCAGTAATATCAAGCAGAGTGGAGCGTTTCAATGTTGTTCATTCTCGTTTGTTATGGGTGTTGTCTACGCTATAATTTTGAAACATTGTACTGTATTTCATCTGCAGTTACCGAGTAATTATCTCGAGTAGCCTTTTTTTTTCCTGACGGCTCGAGAATTACTGCATGGCGAGGCGCGCCATGAATAATGAATGACGACGGTGATAATGATCAACGCTTATACATTTTTTCCTCGACATTTTTCTGGAACGCTGCTGGGCTTGACTTTGAGTTGGGATTACTGGCTTAAGGCACTACCCGGCAGACTACAAAGTACTCCCATCCGTAATAATCCTCTATTATTCTGCCCTATATTCCCATAATCTTGTGAAGTATTAACATGCGTTGCTTGCACATCACGAGGGCAAAATGACGCGAAATGAATTCGCTGTGCCAATGTAATTGGGGCTCCACAGTGACGAATATGTTAACTCCCTCGCCTGGTGTGCAGGAGGTCGTGGGCTCTATCCCAACCCTAACGCTTGTACTGGTAGGAACCTCCTGGTTACACCAGCCCACAGGGGATTATTGTGTCCGTCCATCGTGCATCCAAAAATGGGAGGGTGGGGCTGGGTGGAAAGGGGGGGTGGGGAGAGACTGGGTGGGGAGGGTGGGGAGGGGCTGGGTTTGGAGGGTGGGGCTGGGTGGGGGGTAGGAGGGGTGGGGCTGGGTGGGGAGGGGATGGTCACCCCGTGGTGCCCTTATAAAACGCAACGTTTAACCTACTCACGCCGGCTTGTGCCCACCCTCACAGTCGGCCATATTTGCGGAATACACCACGCCGCCGTTGACCCTGGCCATTGACCGAGCAACCCAACGTTCCTACCAGCTCCCTACGCAGGAATGTGTTATATTTGGTGTTTGCATGCCTCTCTCCCAGTGGTCGCGTGTTTTTTTCTCCGGGTCCTCCGATTTTCCCTCTACATTTAGAAAAGTGCGTTTAGAGTATTTGGCTGCTGTACATTTCCACATGACGGTTCACTTCGTTGAGCTATCAATTGTGGTCAGGTCGCTTCAGAAAAAGAGCTGTATTGCTCAGTGAGCCTTACCTGGTAAAATACAAAATTATAGTTTCGTTGTTTTTGTTCACTTTAATAGTTTTAGATCATCGCTTAAATCCTGAAACAGCATTCAAAAATACCCCAAGCTGAAATTAAACCGCGATTACGACGACGATGATGATGATGATGATGAAAGATCCTAAAGTCCATAGTGATAGGGCAAGTAGGTTTTCAGCCTCGGAGTCGTAAGCAGACTGCGGCCTGCGTGGCACAGCACACACACACACGTTCCTCGCAGCTCACTCTCGTCGCTGTCCACTGGATCAGCGGTCCCCAACCTTTTTGGCACCAGGGACCGATTTCGTGGAAGACAATTTTTTCACGGACCGGGGTGGGGGGGGGGGGGAATTCATCATTGGGTCTTTCCCCCTTTTCAAAGAAGCTCTCCAGCGACGTTTGTTCTTGACTCATTTTGGCGACTAGGGTTCAGCTTGTGGGCTTACCAACACTGTGACTGAGACAAGTGCGAAGTACGGGAAAGAGGCGCGGATGGAAGTGGTCAATTATAATAAAACAACTTGGGGCGGGTTCCACGCGCGGACTCACCGCTCTCACCTCCTGCTGCTGTGCGGCCCGGTTCCTAACAGGCCACGGACCGGTAGCGGTCCGCCGTGACCCGGGGGTTGGGGACCCCTGCACTGGACTCTGCGCGGCCTAACGTCACCAGCACCATCGTAGTTCAGGCTGCAAAGCGGAGATGGCACGAGATTCGCGTTGCAATCCCACCCTAGCGAATGCGCTCGACGCATTCACCGCTTTTTTTTTTAAATCCTTTATATTAAGTTCGCTTGCTTGCGTGCTTGCGTGCTTGCTTGCTTACGACCGTGCAAACCTTTCGGTCGTTTTTTAACCCACTTCCCGTGATCCAATTGAGCTGATATTTTGCACACAGACTCGTTGTGCGAGACAATTAATGTTCGTGAAATTTTTTTTCCAAAATTTTACACTTTTTAGGGAAAACAAATTAAATATTTAATTACCAATTGTTTAATACTGGCAGACAATCATCTGACCCATAGGTGGCAGCCATCTCAAGCCAGAGGACGAGAGGACTCTAGCCGCCACGCATATAAAGGATTTATAGTGAAAAACTTTGTTTTTACTGGTTATTCTTATTTAAAATCCTTTATATTAAGTTCGCTTGCTTGCTTAGGACCGTGCAAATCTTTCGGTCGTTTTTTAACCCACTTCCCGTGATCCAATCGAGCTGACATTTTCCACACAGACTCGTTGTGCGTGACAATTAATGTTCGTGAAAAAAATTCAAAAATTTTACACTTTTTAGGACAAAAATATTATATTTAATTACCAATTGCTTAATGGTGCAATGCAATCATCTGACCCATAGGTGGCAGCCATCTCAAGCCAGAGGACGAGAGGACTCTAGCCGTCACGCATATAAAAGATTTATAGTGAAAAACTTTGTTTTTACTGGTTATACTTATTTCGACCTCGCATTAGAAGCTGCCTCGTGTGAGACGCGTTATAATGCACCGTGTGCTTGTTGAGGAATAGTTTGTTTGAACCTCATACCAATGGGTTGGTCAAATCGGTTCGATTAAATTGTCTAGGCTTCTTCGTGCTGGTTATTCGCTTGGATTGATAGCTCGTCAAGCAGCCAGTGAAAATACCAGCGTCTGTTGAAAACTACGATTTTAAAAAAAAAAGTTGGTTTAGTGTCTACACAAGCAAGTCTAATGTACTGGTCACACACGAGTGATTTGTAAATCATTTAACCTGTTTGGCCGTTTTTTTTATTATTTTATCAGCTCTTGTCGAGGGTCAGTGAACACGAATGTGAGGAATGCGAATGCTCAGGAGGGCTGGCTGTCCAGAGAGGGTGGATGCACACACACACACTAATGCCGTAACATACATGCACACACACACACAAAGGATCCCCTATCTAGCCTTAACAGACTGTAGGGGCAAGTGCTGTTAGCGAGCACCTATGAAGGCCGCAACGGTACACGAGGGGGTGGGTGGCCAGAGCCACGCCCGACCGCCTTTGTCTCCCTAGTGGTGATGTTTACACACCGCACCAGGTAGTCATTTGAGGCTGAGTCGACCTAGGGGAGGCCCAGTACCACTTCAGATAATCGTCACTGGTGTTGGCCGTGAGCGGGAATCGAACTCGGGTCGCTGGGTTCACAGCGCAGCGCGCTAACCACTACACTACCGCTCCCCTGTCACACACGGTTACACACACAGTTACACACACAGTCACACACACACACACCGTCACACACACACACCATCACACACACAGTTACACACACAGTTACACACTGTCACACACACACAGTTACACACACTGTTACACACACACTGCCACACACACAGTCACACACACAGTTACACACACACACAGTTACACACACACAGTCACACACACAGTCACACACACAGTTACACACACACTGTCACACACACACAGTCACACACACACACTGTCACACACACACACTGTCACACACACACACTGTCACACACACACAGTTACACACACTGTTACACACACACTGCCACACACACAGTCACACACACAGTTACACACACACAGTCACACACACACTGTCACACACTGTCACACACACACACACTGTCACACACACACAGTTACACACACTGTTACACACACACAGTCACACACACACACTGTCACACACACACAGTCACACACACAGTCACACACACACTGTCACACACACACAGTCACACACACAGTCACACACACACCACTGTCGCAGCGCATCTGTGGGCCGCGTTCATTCAACGCGCGCTCAGAGAAGAGTGCAAAAGCCACCCTCTTACTTCCGGTCCTTTAACCAAATTCTATCGCTAATTTGTGTGGACATGAACGGGAGATGCCACGGCTTTGTTCACAGAGCAGGTCGCTTTGTTCTCGTGTCATGATGACATGCTAAGAATAACTTACTTTAGCAGTGCGAACAAAAAATTTGAGGTTTTTTTTTCTTAGTCGTTTTGGCTGTTTTGTTATGGAGCCATATGCTTGCTTCAAACTTGTGGAGCAGTGCGCCCACTTGCGCCATAAACCCGGCAGACCTGAGTTCGATTTCCAGCCCCAAGGCTATCGGCAGTGATCTCTGAACTGGTCAGACAAGCCCAGTGGCTGGCGTCCTTCATCCAGCAGTGGATTGATGACAACAAGTACGTAAAACATTAGGTAGGCTGTCGAACAAAAAGTTCAACTTACATACACACACAGTGCACAAGCACGTGTGTAAGTTGAATTTATTTCGCACCGTAAGTAGCCAACCGTGCTAATCGTCCATTCAGTGAAAAAACAAAGTTGAGTCATTTAAATTTAGCTTTTCAACATGTATTTTGTGTTAAACCCGGAAACACATTACACATATCATTGACCCTGACCGGTGTACGCGTATTCTTGCTTCTTTCGGTAAAGTCACGTAGAAGGGAAATAATAAAATAATAAAAATAAACCATTTATAATTTTATTATTTCCCTTCTACGTGACTTTACCGAAAGAACCAAGAAAATGAATCCCTGCAGTCACGAAAGCTTTAAATGGAAAGGTGTACACGTAGTTAAAATGTAAACATACCGAACATGGAGGTTTTATATGTCAACCCTTGAGCCTTTCCTACGCAGTGCTTTATACACCCCACTAGCTGTACTACCCGGCTTCGCCCGGGACTTGGATCCACCACGCCCGGCCGCCTTTGTCTCCCCATTGGCGATGTTCATACGCCACACCAGTTACTCGTTTTGAGGCTGAGTCGACCTAGGGGAGGCCCAGGACCGGTTCAAATAATCGTCACCGGTGGTGGCCGTGTTACAAATTGACTCACTTTACTTAATAAGCAGGCTACAGTCTACATTATAGACTGCCAGTACACCAACCCAGCTTAATAACCAGGCAACAGTCTACATTATAGACTGCCAGTACGCTCACCCAGCTTAATGACTATTTGTACAGTCAACATTTAAAGAATCGATTCTTGGCGCGTCGGGTTTAAAAGTAATTACACAGTTGTTTTTTCATTGGTATGTAATGTTTGAAAGTTTTCAGAAGATTTTAAATGTATTTTCCCCCCGGGCAACGCTGGGTATATCGAGTTTATACCACAAAGTCGTCGCTTGACACGGGTGGGGTGTCGAGGCCTAGTACCGTGCAGAGCCTCCGGCCTCGCCTAAATTACCCACCCGGCTGAGGCTGGGTAATGGGGCCGTTACCCCCCCCCCCCCGCGCTACAATAATACTGTCTAATCGCTATAATTGTATTATCTACCGACCCTATAATAGTAATTGCACACATTGGGGTGGGGGGTGAGTGAAGAGGACGTGAAACTTTGATGAATTTACCTCAGAGTCGCGTGTTAATGCGTGCGCATATTTTTAACGGGAATTAAAAATGGCGTCCACCCCGCAGCGAATGCGTCGCTAACCGTTGCCAGGGGCAACCGCCGTGGAAAACCAAATGGACCAATCGCGTCTCGCAAATCCCTCACATTTCGTCCAATGAAACTGCGTATGGTCCGGCGACACACAGACAAACAGACACACACACAGACAGATAGACAAACAGACAGACAGATTTGCGATTTTATATATATAGATGGCCTGCTCGAGAAAGGGAGCGACATTTCTCAACACATTCCAGTACACTCACAAAGGAGGGCTGTTGCATCTCTCCTAAAGTATTTCATTTCCGTGGACACATTTTCCCATAGATACACACACTCTCATAAATCCGCGTGACAGGGCTATTAAAGCTTAACACAGCTTCCAAGAGCGTGCTTTACCACCTGTGCTCTGACCTGAAATTTCAATTTTAATAACCGTCACGAGGCGTACACCGGTCGAAACTACATCTCGTAGCCGCGCACACATATATATACTCATCTATAGATTGTTCGCGTCTGTTAAATCACTCGCATGCAAATAATACGTTCACCGCTTTGCAATCTCTTCGTAAAAGAAACTGCCATTGATAATGATGAATGGTACCTCTCTACGCGCACGAGTTGTCGAGACGGGCTACCCTCCTACAAACGCAAACATGAACCAATTCGTCATCTTTAACGCGTAGGCTTTCGTGACCGTCATTATGATTGGGCATTGATTTTATTTTTTTTGGGTCACTTTCCCACGTGAGTAAAATGCCAATGCGTGCCGACTACCCTCCTCCAACCTGACAGAGCCCAATAAATGAAGTTGCATACGTGAAAAAAAGTGGCGAATTTATTATCGTTTCAGCACAAGTTGCGAGAGCAATCCGCATAGATTTCATGGCGATCACCCGACGATTGCACCTCCGATGAGCATGGTTGGCTACGTACGGCGCGAGAGAAGTACGTACAAGATGCTTGTCAGTCACTACCAGCGAAATGTTGTACCAAATTGTTGAATGGTTTGTGAATTTCTCTCCAGCATACCGGTGCTGGAGCAATACCAAATTGGCACGTCTGTACACTTAACAAACGCTTTGATCTGGCGGAGGAGGGTATGCAACACACATTGGCATTTTACTCATGCGGCGATCTGGCCCGAAAAAATATTTACTAATCGATTAATCGTCTGCTAGATGATCGCTCGTGTACATCGGTAAGGATTCTCAAGGGGTCCATCATTGTGAGGTCTATTGTGGGTTTTTATACGAGACATTTAGCAAATAATTTTGTTAATGCAGTTCATACCCTTGACATTCTTACAAGCAATGTCACATCCACTTTAACGTCATTTTATAATACGGTTATATAATAGGAATCTATAGGGCATCTGAATGCTATGGAAACATCTAATGTGTACCATTTATTTTTTATAATGTGCCGTGGCACAAGGGCACACAGGTGGAATTGGATCTGTCGTGCCTTTGCAAGAAAGACAAGAACTATGATGATGCATTGTATAGAGATGTGCACCCGGCATATTGACCTTTGTCAGTGGCACTACAGAATAGGAAGAGGACACAAGACTGCAGTGATTGCTATCAGGACAATACTTAGTTGGTGCAGTATTATTATTGATATCTTGTGTTCGATGTTTCAATATTACAGCGTAGTATTTTCCGTGAAGTAAATTGACACCTCGGGGAAAACCGAGAAAAAGTGTGGGTACTCCACCTCTTCCACGACTTTTGGCCAGCATGGAAGAGTAGACCAAATACCCCACGGAGGGATTCCATTGGCGCTCCATTCTTGTGTGAAGATTCTCCACCAACAGTGGCATATGCGCGAGGAATTACAAGGCTGCACCTTTATCCTTAAGTTAAAAATAACAGCTGTGAATGTGTCAGAGTCTCTGGCGAAAATGTACCGAGTGCCTGCCTCTGTCACAGACAATGAGGCAAATCAACAGTGGGGGGGGGGGGGGTCAGATGTGCTTCATCCATCTTGTCAAAGATATGAACGTGGCCCTCAAGTGTCTCGAGTTAAACCCGTGCCAAATGTTCCGCGTGGCTGGCGAATCACTAAATCCGTAAGCTTTCTTTTATGGGATGTGGGGCAGGTGCGTGGAGAGAGAGAGGGGGAGCGCACACATGAGGCTCGTGAATCACCATGGTTTGAAATCTCCTGAGATTTCAACCTGCAGCAATGTGAGCACCCTTCACCCCAAGGGCAAATCAATTTGTCAAACAAGCTGGAACCATGGCACGGTTATCTTCCTTTCGGGGCATCGTTGACTTACGGGGAGTTTTACAGCTGCCGCCAGAAAACTTCGTGTCTCGAATAGGGTACTCCCTAAGCACACGTGGTGAGCATTGGGTGGTAACCCGTCCCAACTGGTGGGCCTGAGGCAGATGTGGGAATTCCACGTTTCTACGGCAGGAACCGATTGTGTCCCTATGTCTCCCCTTGAAAAAGAGTCACTCGGTCTAAATGGGTTCTAACCTGCTCTTAAACAAATTAGATTATACTGGTAGGAACTTCCTGGTTACACCAGCCCACAGGGGATTATTGTGTCCGTCCGTCGTGCAGGGAGAGGCTTGGGTGGGAAGGGAAGGGCTGGGTGGGGCGGGGAGGGTGGGGAGGGGCTGGTCACCCCGTGGTACCTTTATAAAACTCAACGTTTAACCTACTCACGCCGGCTTGTGCCCGCCCTCACAGTCGGGCATATTTGCGGAATACACCACGCCGCCGGTGACCCTGGCCATTGACCGGCTCCCTCCGCAGGAATGTGTTAATTAGCGGTGACTATCCACACAAATGCTATTAGAATTAGTGGCGACTATCCACAAAAATGGTACTTAATGTACCTACCAAGGGCTGAGTGGCCTTCCCTTGATCGTTTACAGTTAGCCACAATTAACCACGCCATTTGTTGCATTTATTGTATTGAAACAGTGGTGATACATTTTGGTTGAAGGTGCTGTGTTCACTGGTATAGGCACCCAATCCGCCATGATCAATCCACTGCTGAATGAAAGCCCCCTGATACCATCGCCATCTCTCACGGTTCCGCGATGCAGGACTCCACTCGGCATGTGCACACGATCCGATTTCATCGCTCCATCTCCCAGGCAGACGTTCTCACAGTACTATGCAGGTATCCCTCGATTTACAAACGTTCAGCGCGTAAACGCAATTGACAAAAGTGAGCACCACTCACCACAACTCACCACTCACCACAACTAACCACTCACCACCACCACCACCACCACCACTCACCATCAATCACCACCACTCACCACCACTCACCATCACCACGTCCTGTCCCAGCTGGAGCCTGCCGCCCTGGTGACCACCACTCACCACAACTCACCACTCACCACCACTCACCACCACCGCCACTCACCAGTGTTGGTTGTTGGTTGTTTGACTTGCATCCCACTGGGATTTTTGCACACAGCGTTGGTGTGCGGTGTTTTTTCTGCAATATTTTGCTGTCTTTTCTTGGATTTTCTGTTTGCACTCAGTTACATAGTCACTTTAAGATGTTTTCTTGTTCATGTTTTTGTTTTTTTGTTTGTTGCGGTTGAACCCGATTCAAGAGCCGAATGGCTCACAGGGATATACCTAATACTTGAACTTGACAAATTACGGGGCACTTTTTGATTAACGAAACGGAATTTCCGCGTACAGAAAATTTCACTACGACACGTGCCACAACATCAAGCAAGAACAGTGCAACGGTAACATCTCCACATCAACGTTCCAGATTTGAAGCTTTCGTGACTGCAAGGATTCATATTCTTGGGTTTTTTCGGTAAAGTCACGTAGGTAAAAAATTTAATAAAAATTAATAAAAGTAAAATTAAATAAAATCACGACGTTTCGGAGGCAACACAAGCTTCCGTCTTCAGGTGGAACCGTCACAGCACGCTTGCTGTATCAAGTTAAAAAAAAAAACGTCGTTATTTTTATTTTATTTTACTTTTATTAATTTTTATTAAATTTTTTACCTACGTGACTTTACCGAAAAAACCCAAGAATATGAATCCTTGCAGTCACGAAAGCTTCAAATCTGGAACGGTGATGTGGAGATGTTACCGTTGCATTGTTCTGTTATTCCAACATCCAGATCCGTTGGTGAGTTCCCTGAAAAGGTGAATTATTTTTGTTTTAAATGAATACTTAATCATTTTACCATTCACGTTCTTATATCTAGATGAAGAGCAGGGGTGGAATGCCTGTCCGAAACACATCTCTATTTTCTCAGTATTAAATTAATGTGAAAAGCCATTCCGAGTTTACAAATTGTCGTTTCACGCCATGTTTTTTTGTGTTTGTTTAAGAACGCATCCCTTTCGTAAATCGAGCGACACCTGCGCGTGGATCATGAAAGGAGGGCTACAGTCCGTCAATCTGCGGTGCACGCTGAAGGTCCTCCACCTCAGTGAGCTTTTCATCTGTGATGTCATACTCCGGGGATGACATCACGCACGAAAGCCTTCGCACAATGAGGCCCCTTTCAAAGGTTCGCCTCTCCGTACGCCCAGGCATTTAACCTCCGGCCCGTCGCAAGGATCCAACAGCACTCACATTGAGCACCCCTCTCATCCCCCCCTACCCCCCTCATCCCCCATTCCCCACCGCACCTCATCCCCCCACTCCTCCACCCCCCAAAACAATGCTTCTATAATAAAAAGTAAGTTCAACGTTGAGCTTACTATTATGAATACCTGGTAATAAATATCCGTTGTGGCTGCAGGTTGTATCATGTGTAGCTCAGCAACAAGAGACAAACACCAGAATTCAGAATATGCATTTGTACTGGTGGAATCCGATGAGCTATAAAGCTATTTTTCACAAATGTCCAGGCCAAAAAAACACCCGCAGAGCAAACCCTAAAACGAGTCGGAGAGCCGCACAGCAAAATCTGCACGCATCTCAGAACGAGCGCAAAGATACACAACACAAGTTCGATATAAGACCACGTGCAGAGCTGAGACGAGGTCTTGGCAAAAGTGGGGAGTTG